CAAGGCCGAATTCCGACGAGGGGCCGTTTTTGCCTCTTAACGACCCCGTCCTTTAATAGACAAAAAAAAAGAAAATGTAAGAGAAACAAAAAATAATTTACTTTAATAACTGCAGAATCAGAAAAGTCATATTTATGTATTCTACTTGGCATTATTGGCCAATTACGCATGTTGAAAGATTTTAAATCAAATTTACCAGCTTTCTCTACTAACATTTGATCGAGATCAATATAGTTTTCTTCACTAAATATGTGCAATCAAAATTAATAAAAATTTTTCGAATATTTACTCAAGAAAACGTCGTTCGATTAGATGATCTGGAAATATTGTTATTTCTGTTGATGATCGTAAAGAAAGTAAAGTAACTTTAGAGAATAAGATCAATCATTTTAAATATATAATAAAAAGAATCTTAACAAACAGTTGTATAACGATAAAGCATGCGATTATAATTCATCATTGTTTATTGTCGTGTAATTGAAGTTCGAATAGTTTTTGCTGACGAAGACTTGCAGATCGATAATGATGATATTAAATGAGATACATTACAATTCATATCTCTTCGAACATTACCAATTACCATGATTCTACTAGGGGGAAATTTACGTACTATATCGACAATCACAACGAATGTTTTTACGAACGAATAAATATTAAAGAATTTTTCTTTGCTGTCTTTATAATTACAAGAACATATAAGAACAGAGAAAAAGAATTGTTGTCATTTCATTATTAATTTAATTTGAAAATTTTTGATGATTAATATTAATAAATAATATGTAACTGATAAAAGTAAAAAGTAACAATAATGTACATTTGATTTTATGTATTACAATGAATATGAAAAAAAAATCCGTACGGTGAACGGTAAGATCTCTTAGACTGGATATTATCAATGAATCAATCGAATATTGGGAAATGAATCTTACTATTAAATGATCTATTTCCAAATACCTACGCATTCAATCTGAGAATCTCATGAATTCCTTCAGTTCCAAAGGTGTCGTAAGTTTTTTGACTTCTAGGAGATCCTATAGTTTCTCGATTTCAGTGACTTCTCAGAGTTCTGTGTGTTCCTTGTGTTGTTTAGATAAGTGAACTCTTATGAAATGTTACATTCTGTCCACTTGATCTTTGTGATTCATAGCGACTTTGTTCTTTCTAGAGAATTGCTGAACCTCAGAAATCATACAATTCGGCCACTACAGAATAATTTATACTACAAAATGACAGTTAATTTCATGAAAATGTGATGAACACTTTTTTCTATCTCAATAGTTATAAGGAGAGTGTGGGTGTGGAGAGAGAGTAGAATAAACCCACATCTACACCCTGAATACATCACAACGAAAGAATAGACCATGGATAAAATACAATGACGCATTGTTCACTTGTTTGGACGGAACGTGATGATAATGACATGTTGCATAAGCTGTAGAAAACGATTTCACTTGTCGAATCGATACATATCAGTTCGAATTTCTTATTAAAATGATGAAAACAGTGACTGACTGTGTAACTTCATTGTTTTTTTCCGTATCCAAACTAATATATGTATAATTCATAGAATCTCAATAATGTAGATCGTTGAAGATTCAAAATACTTTCGTTATTGTAATTCTAGTTTAATAAATGTGATCAGCCTAATTTCTCTACAACAAAAAGATCTTTGAAATCGGTGATCTAACTAATGGTAGATCAGATAACTGATATAATAATTTTTTTCTAAATATTTCCAAGTTATAATTCATTTTTTGAAATTATTAATATCGATTATTTTTGACAAAGCAATTTCTTCGAAAGATAAAACAACAAAAAGAAAGTATGAGAACTGAGAAATTTTATAAAAACAAAAGTTAAATTTTGCTAAAACTTTGTTCAAAGAAAACAATGGTGAGAAAAGGGGTCTTAATCATACTTTTAGCTATTTTTGACTTCTCTTTCCATTCAAATACGCATTTTTGATTGCTGATGCAATCATAGATTGATCTCTCCGACATTTGAACAGCTTCCCAATTCTCAGTAAAGAATTTTCTGTTCTGGCCCCGTTTTCTTTTACTTCACTATTTCGAATCGGCTCGGTTTCATTTTTTTTTCGAAACCGCTGGGCTCTAATAAAGAGAATGATCATTTTTGTGCTTTGATGTTTTAGTTGTCTTCTTTCTGCTCGAACGTCACTATGAAACTTGATAACAACCTTAATACTCGTATTTTGCTGCAATCAAGACACTTCAATGATATTATGATTGAAATTAAAATTTATTTAACTTACACATAAATATATGATGAAAATTAAGCAAATACATGGACATATATGTCTATCGATTTACTTATCTACCTATATATCACTTGATCTATATATATTTATATCCTTGCTTGCATTATAAACCGTTCAACAATTGATAATAATATGTTTTTAATCACACTTATTTATTTTAAGAATTACTAAGTCACTCTTAAAAGTCTATACATCCACATTGATCTTCATGAATGTATATTAGAAAACTAAAACATATCTGAATTTGAACTTATGTTCACAGCAGTATAGTTTGCACTAGTATTAGAAGTCCTATTAAAATAATCTTCTAAATTACAAAAAGAAATATCATTTCGTTCACATAGAATATTCAACATTTGAGTATGTTCTTGATCAGGTTGCACATTAATAAGCACGTCAAGTTTCCGTTCGAATCGTATATTTTGAAATAACTATTAATCTAAACATCAAATATGTCTTCTGTAATGACATATAGTCATAATATACATTCAACCACTAGTACATAGCATATGGTAAATATGAACTCGAATAATCAAATAGTTTAGTAAATAGAAACATTCAATGTTCCAGATAGATGTGGCAGTGTCTTTGGTAATATATTCGAATAGAGTCTGTCATGCGTCGGAAAAAGTTATTTCAGACTTTTGGTCGATACTAATTCTCAAGAGCGATCTTTTTCACTAAAATGTTTTCAAGAAGATGAACAGAAGTATTGTTTGACGACGTAATCATAGACAGGTACAGCCATTACATATATAACAATTTTCTTTATCGATAAAATGTATCATCGGTTTACGATGATCTAAGTAAGAAGAAGAGTTCACCACAAATTTAAAAAAAAACATGTCTTAAATAATCATCATACACTGTATATTTTAAAATCGTTGTGTAATTACAATGTTTATTCATCAGCAACTGTATATTCCATCAATTCTAATCTAAAATCAATGTGAATATTAATTTGAAAATAGAAAGAGAAGTGTAGAAAACTAAAAGAATTTAGGATTGGGATATTATTTTAAATAGTTTTCTGTTTTAAAGTACAGTAGGTACAAGATAAGCAGAAGGTGATTGTCCTGCAAGTTTATGTCGATTCCAATAATTTTCAGGAAAAATTTTGCCTATTTCTGGTTCATTATCATGATACCAAGTGTATTCAAGTTGTTCTTTATTTAATGGACCATTTAATTTTGGTAAATCGAATGATAATGGTGGATCATGATCAAAACGAGTAAGACCTGGAATGCTTACTGTAACATTATCGCCTAATTCATCAAGACGAGGCTTATCATTTAGTCGTCGTGACGGATCTAAAAGACAATGATAAGATGAAGGCATCGGTCGAAGAAGTGTATAAATTGTTGCAACATGATCTCTATGAAGATCTGGTCGACAAATTAATGGTGGAGGATTTATTGTATCGTTTACAGTCGATGGAGCGCCATATAAGAGTGGTCCTCGTAAAGATGAGACAGATGGTGGAAAAAGTTCAAGACGATATTCAGCTTCTAAACGATCTTGTTCCCAATCGAATATACCTGATTGATTAATAAATGGAACGTGAGTATCATTTAAATCCATAATTATCAAACTGAAAAAATTAAAAATATGTCCTTGTGAAAAAAACGTTATGTTTTTTTATGGCTTCAAAAGCATGTACAACAATTATGTAAAATAACAAACGATTATTGTTTGTTTTAGTATTTTTGTGTTATTCTGTATTCGCCATTTTTCTTCTTCATTTCTAGGCAACTGTCCTCTCAAAAATTTCTTCTTTTTTCTCATTCGATACTCCTATTAACCAACTATTTAATACATGAAATAGAACGACAAAGGAAAAAAGGTAATCAGTTGTGTGTATAAATTATCAACTATTCAACTTTCAGAATATTTACTATCTCTAATCAACAAAAAGAATTACTTCTAATTTTTAATTGTTTTCTTTTTCTATTTTTTAGTTATATGCCTCTTTTGAGCACGTTATTATCGCGGGATGTTCCGCAGAATTTTTATAAATTCCAATTTCAACTCTATTCCGCTTTATTTTTTGTTGGTCTATTAGGTTTTCTGTATTTAAGTTCGCCGATTATTAGTCGTCGAACATATTTATCTGAAAATGCTCTATCACCTGGTCTTGTTTCTAGTGATTTATATGTATCTGTTGAACATGTTCGTCATATTATGGGACAATTACGAACAGGATATAAAAATCATAATATAACTGATGTTATTCAATTAATATTAATTGAAAATGGTATTGAAGCATATAAACAAGATATTGGAAGAAATTCAACTAATAAACAAGAAGAAAATATTTATGGTATTGTACGTGCACCAAGATTAGCATCAACAGAATCAATTATTCTTGTTGCACCACTTCATGTTCGTACTCAAACAAAACTACAACAATACAAAGCTAATCTATTTGGTAAATAGATACAAAAGAAAAACGAATTCAAATTTATTTAAATTAATAATAATTCATTTTTTGTTTTGTTTTAGGTATTGCTCATACATTAGCAATTGGTTTTGCACTTCATCGTAAACCTTATATGTCAAAAGATATTATTCTTCTTTTTCCTGCTGCACAAGAATATGGTACACGTGTATGGTTAGATGCTTATTTTAATAATAATCCATATTCTTTACCACTTGATGCTCATGCTGGTTCAATACAAGCTGGTTTAGCATTAGAATTTCCTCATGAAAAATTCTATTCAATTGATTTACGACATAATGGTATTAATGGTCAATTACCAAATCTTGATTTAATAAATACAATTGTTCAATTATGTGATAAAAATTCTATAGCAACTACATTATATAGTGTTTATGTTGATTTATCAACAAATGAACCATTTATTAATTATATACTTAAATCAACACGAACATTATTACTTAATGTTTTAACATTAGCAACTGGTATATCTGATGGTGTGCATGGACAATTTTTACATTATCGTATTGAAATGATGACTCTTTTTGGAAGTTTAGACAAACATCATGAATATCAAACTTCTCCTATTACAATGAGAGCTTTTGATGATGTTATTGAAGGTAAAGATTCATGTTTTTTCTTTTACTAATGATTTAATTATATTGTGAAATAGGATTTAAAAGGACTATTGAATTATTGGGATAGAAATTTAGACTCCACTCTCCACAGACGTTGTTGATATATGATCGTGTATTCAATAACGTCTCATTATAATTTATGAACTAATATCCGCATCAGATTTAAGGGGATTGTCGCTCAGAAAATCCAATTTTTCGAGAAAAGCTCAAAGTTGAGCTTTTTTCCATAGGAAGATGGAGCAAAATTTCCTCTTTCAGAATATATATAGTGTTTTTTTTCAGAAATTTTTGCACAAAAAATGCTTGATTTTGGCTGTCGACCACCATTTCTTCTCGTCATTATTCAAAACAAATGACATCTATCAATAGAGAATATACGAAAACCTATAAAAAATTTTTGAATGAATAAGTTCACTTGTCTTATGTTCGAGAAATCTTTTGCTCAACTTTGAGCAATCATGGCCCTTTTTAGCTGAACAAACTGTAGAAGTGAATTTCGAAATTCTGTCCGATGAAAAACTGCGTACTTGTATTGGTTTTAGTTTGAAACCATCCCGAGTTCTATATTTCTTCGAATAACGGAGTTATAAGGATTCTTTTGGAGGCTATATATAGATCATATAAAAGCTAGAAGTTCGGTATATTCTGGCGTATCGAGCTGGAAATTTTAGCTCAAACGGACCGTCCTAAATGGTAAATTTTTTGTGAGGGAGCCTTTAAAGAGCGATAGGTGCAACCTTAATAACTCGAAAATGGCAACAGCTAGCGATCTGGGGTGTTCAGGAATTGAAAGAGGAGAACTTCGGATATCTTTAATGGTTTTGAAATAATTTTGTCTTATTTAGTATTAGACAGAAAGATGTCCAGAGTTCTCCTCTTTTGGATTCCTGAAAACTGCAAGTCGCTAATTATTGCCGTTATCTTAAATCCACTCTTCTTTAATTCTAGAGTGGACACTACTTTCTCATTGCATTTCTAGAGAATTAAGTAAAAGGATGGTGAAGAAATATGTTTCAAAATAGATAGAATAAAATAATTTCCTTGGATTCTGTTTCACATTTCACTTCCATAAAGATTGTGCTAACAGCTGCTTTTTTTTTGAAATACATATTTAGGTTTCATTCGAAGTTTAAATAATTTACTTGAACGTTTTCATCAATCATTTTTCTTTTATCTACATGTAAATCATCGAAATTTTGTTTCAATTGCAACATATATGATTCCACTTGGTTTAATGGTTTTACCAGCTTTAATTCGTTCACTTGTTCTTTATATGTCATTTTGTAATTCATCATCAACAAATTTATTTAGTACACATGGTCGTACAATGAAATTTTATATTGATCATACACCAATATTTATTGAAATATTTCAATGTCTTGCTATATCATATGTATTAACATGGATACCTTTAAAATTATCTTTATTAATTGTTAGTTTAATAACAATGTTTATAAGTCCATTGATATTACGTCGATTTCATTCAACTATATATGAATTTGATTATTTTCAATTTATTCTTTTATTAATTGGTTCAGCTTTATTAGGTTGTCTTTCATTATTAAATTATTCTATGGCTTTTCTTACTGCTTGTTTTCTTATGCCATGTTATATGTTTGCAGGATTTTCAAAATTAGATCATTGGTTTATTAAATTATTTTGTCGATTATTATTTATTATATTTCTTAATCCATTAGTTTTTCTTGCTCTTTATTATTATTTAACACGTATATTAATGAATGGTACAATAATTTTTCCTGATTTTGTTCAATTTTCAAATGATCTTGATACATATTTTGCATCTTATCATTTGTTTAATACTTGGACAGTAGATGTTGTGTGTTTAACAATTATACCAATATGGTTATTACTTTATCGATCAACATTTTCCATTCGATTATAAAAAAAAAAAAATTATTATTGAACTAATATAAAACGCAATTTATTGTTGAAATTTTGCGTGTATATAATACAATATTTCTTTTATTATGGAAATAAACTTCAGACATTTCAATAACTTTCTTATTCGTTAGATTATTCACTTTCTTTAACAGACTAACAAATCAAATTTTACAAAATAAAATTATAAATACTATACCTACGTTGATATATATTTATTGAATTTTAGTGGTATATGTTTATTACGTTATCACATAGTCAAAATTTTTTAAAAAATTACATTAATTTAGGGTTAGAGGTGTAAGCTGATCGACTGAGTCACCACTGTGACACAAAAATAGATACTTGTTTTTTAAAAATTTCCAACGTCCTAAATCAGTTGTTGGATATGTCACCGTCTGTTTTTTTTTTGTCAATAAGCTCTCTACCATCGTTGTCTGTCTTTTTCATTTTAAAATTTCTCGAAATTAAGGAAATTTTCTAAAAATTCGTTAAAAAAAATTTCAACCGTCGATCAATGTACCGGCTTTAGGGAGCTGCGGATCCACGTTTTCGTAGAACCGGACCCAACAAAAAAGTAAATAAAACTTTGGACCCAGCCAGACCAGGGTCTGGACGGACCCGCAGCTTTCAAATCGGTTTACACCTCTATTTATGGCGGGTTAAATATAAGATATTAATGCTCCTTGAATTACTGAAGTCATCATAAGTATGATGATAACCGTAGATAGATTCTATCTTTATTGAAAAAATATATGAGTGAATAGCATTTTTTTTTGTACAATTGATCTTTTCGAGTATCTATGCTATAACTTTCCTTCCTATCGAATGATTTTTAATCCGATTCTCTTCTTTGTCACTCATACCTAAATTTCATGTTTCTGTCTTATATCTTTCTTAAGTTACATGATTTACAATTAGGAAAAATGATAGTTTTCAAAGAAACATATGTAAAGGAGACTCTCGTCTGCCGAAAGAAAGAAATGGAAATGAACCATTTAGTAGTTTGGATATCATTCTATCAAAGCATGTGATTCACTGGTCTGTATATCTTTCTGTTCGTATACTTCTACTCTCAGCATTCGATGATAGGCGCTTTTATTTTTTTTATACACAGTAGCACAAAACCACCACTTCTGTAGACGAGGAAAGATTTAAATAGAAAACCAATATAAAAAATAATAGAGAACTTTTTGATATAAATATGTTTACTTTTTCTTATTTCAATATTAAAGAAAAAAGAAATTGGAGTACCTGCAATGATATTTTGAAATTTGTTCGATCTATAACTCATGAACGATTCATACTTTTAGATTTGATAGAGTTCACATGAAGTTTGTATTATAACGATAAAAATTTCAATCCTCTAGCTTTTACTATAGAACTGAAAAATCACTCGAATCTTTTCATTGAATAAAGCCAATTTTTATGATTGCGTTAAACAAAAAATTGAATTGGACATCGTGTATCTCGTTTGATATTGAGTCAAATGTTCGATTGAAACTACGTTCGGGTGAGAGACCATTGTGAGTAACCTAAAAGCCTAAGAGGGTTTGGTTGTCTGAGCCTTTATTCTTGAAATATCGAATTTTTACTGCATTTGTTAACAGAAAGCTGTAGTCCGCCTCAGGTCACCATGAAAATCAAATTTTAATTTTCGACTTGAAGCTTTGCAGAAATGAAGCTCTCGATAACACTAGTTCATTATGAAAGTTTCACTAATCTTTTTCATACCATTTGCATTACTAAAAAGTTGCAATTCACTCATATTTTTATGCTAATGTATCGAATATAAAACAGAGATTTAACTTAATTTTCATTGATATATATGCTTAAGATTTTATCTTATTCAAAAGAATCAATATAAAATCAAGACAAGAAAAATAAACACATTTAAATTTTGAACCACAAGTTAGTTAATTAAAAGCACTTTTGTAACGAATATTCTCCTACATTTAAACAACATTTCAACGATCAAAATTAAATAGATTAATCATTAGTTTAGTAGGTAAGAAAAAAAACGCAGAATTCGTTTATCGAAATAAACATTAATTTTTTTTTGTGCGCATCATATATGAACAAAGCTTTCATTTTCGTTTTCTTTCTTTTTAGATATTTAATGAAGGTATCATATTGAGTCCTCTATCTCAAAGTTTATTACCTTCAATGAATTCAATAAATACATGTGAAAATGAAATTGAATGTTCAAAAATAGCATATTTTTCTTGTTATCATTGTTCAAAAAATTTATGTCTTGAACACCTTAACAAACACAATATTTTAAATATTGTACGAGTACAAGAATTATCTAATAAATTAGATGAATTTGTAAATCTTGTTTCAAATCTTGATACTCAAAAAATATCTCAAAATGCTCATGATAAACTTGATACTTGGAAAAAACAAATATCTAATGATATTGAAAACATCTATAAATTATATTTAAATGAAATTAATTATTTAGAAATAGAATTAAATCAACGTTTAAATATTGTTAAAGAAGATATAAGATTAAAAATTTCAAATTTAGGAACACAATTATTAACAATACAAAATATTGATGAAATATCTCAACAGGTAATTTAAGCACTTTTTTTTTTCTTTATTAAGTTGTTTTTCTTTTTTGCATAGCAATTATTACCAATCGAATATGATCTAAAACAATTTCATCAATTTTTTGAATCAGTTCAATGTGAACTAAATATCGATACAAAAAATATTTCTATTAAAGATTTAATTAATGTATATAATGTATTTTCATATAAACGAACATTACCAAATAATACTCAACTTGAATCTTATCGAACACTATCAGTTGAAAATATGAAAAAATTTATATCAAGTAAAAATAATGAATCTATTTTATGGATAGATACTTCAAAACAATTACACTATATTGATAGAAATTTTCACAATCGTCTATTAAACAGTTAATTCATAATTTTATTTAAGTTTTTCCGATGAAAAAATTAATTTTTTTCAGTACCACAAACATCTTCGATTATATTATCTAATCATCATCAAATAAGAATAAATGATATTGATATTGTAGATATTAAATGGTGTTCATCTGTTGAAGTATTTCTCATTCTTTTTCAACGATCTTTACTTTCATTTAATCATAAAACAAATCAATTTACACAAATTTCTATTACACGATACAAAAATTATCCGTTAAGAACACAACAAAAAATATTCAGTTTTAAAATTTATCTTTCTTTTTTTTAATTTAGTTTTCAGTGTATATCTTGTTTCAATGATACATCACTTTATATTTCATATTGTACATTTGGTATATGTATTGAATTATGGAAATATTCATATGGAAATGGAAATGATATTTATTTGAATGAATGTATTAACCGATGGGATTGGTTAACGAATGATAAAAATGAATGGATATCATATATAAATACAATTTCGAATTTACATATAGGTTTACTTATTTGTAGAGGTTCATCGATTTATAGACGTTTTGAATTACGTAATGAAAATTTAAATTTATTAAAAATAATACAATTAGATAATGATTATGTTGATAGATTTTTTCCATTTCGAAATAATTATTGGTTTATTAAAAGTTTATCTGAAAAATATTATATTTATTCAATAGAAACAAATACATATCATTTATCATCATTTGATTTTCCTTTTGGATTAGAAGAATTTGGAATTAATTCAATAGTTATTGGTATTGAACAAGATAAATTAATATTATGTGATATTTAATTAAATTATTTTTATAGATTTTGTTTTTATTTTTGTTTTTGTTTTATTTTAATAGAATTAAATTGTTATTAATTTTTGAAATGATAAATCAGAAATATGTATGCATGAAGATTTTAGTAAGACACAAAAAGAAGTAGATTATATCGTTTATCAACAATATAATTACCGTAAGAGTTTCATCATTTCAGATTATAACACGTTTACATAAAACTATGTTTCAACATATGAGCATCATATTTCTTTGGTTTAATTGGTGCATTAAGTGGAGAAAAAAATGATAGGATAGACACCCATATTGATTATGTTACTGAACTAAAGTCATTTTTGTAGAAAAGATGGAACATTTTTTTTTCTTGATCATAACTTTTCTGTAGCAGAAAACTAAGATACTTTATAATAACTATGCTCCGCCATTGGCAGTAACTACAATCATTACAACAAATGTACCTTTAAAAATGAATTGCTATTCTTACTGGAGGATGTAGTAATGCCTGCTGAGTATAATGATCGATAAAATAAGAGACATCGGCAGTAAAGTGTTTTTTTTTTAAATAAAATACAGAATAAAGAACGTGAACAAAAACAAGTTTGTTTTTCTTTCTTCTTGCGTTGTTGCTGACGCATTTTCACACCATAGCATTACATAGTACAGTCAACTACGCATATAGCCATACTTTGTATTTTACTTCCGCGCTATGTTGCTAGGTTTTTTTTTTATTTATTTATTTGGAAATGGAATATTTTGATGATGCTTAAAGGACAAAAATAGCAATAAAAAAAATGTCTCTCTTTATCATGTTTAGTTTTAATCATTTTTTTTCTAAAAAAAATTCAACATAAGTTTCTTATATTATCTATATCTTGTTACTAATAATTGATGAATCGATAGCTCTAAAATAAGAAGACAATTTGAATCAAAGTTCTTCTCATTTGATTACTTAAACTTTTCATTAGTATCATACTCGTCGCATACAGTATTATTGAATATTATGATAATATGGTTAGTTTGATATTTATGGAGATAATCTTTAACAGTCGAGAAAGTAGAATTTTGAGCCAGATTGAGTTCTCGCTTGAGAGTTGCAGCATCATCGATGATTATTACTAGGATAAATGATCATTTAATAACTTTATTAATTACAAGAAACATAGTTGACGTTCGAAAAAAGAAACTTTTAGGAATGATCCTTGGAGCATTATCAAAATTCGTGATTCTTAAATAAATAAAAAATAAACCAATATAACCACTTAGATAAAATACAACGTATAGTTGACTGTATTACATATGCTATGACGTAGAAATCAATTTATAATGGCACAAAAATAACAGAAAAAGAAATAATTGAAATAAGAGCTTTTATTGTGTTCGTAGAAGACGATGAACAGCGTCACTTTTATTCCATTAAGTCAACTATGCAAGACGTGTTTACATCAGAATTTGATTATGTTCTTTATGTAACATTACTTTTGTTTAATATTAATATTTTAGTTCAATCCTAAGAAAAAATTTCAATAACACGAGAATAGGTTTTTTCTGTTTTAGATTTATTAATAATTTCGTTGAATCTGTATTTAATGTAAAAGAAATTTGTGATAAAAATTGATGAATTAATTTAAAAGTATACAAAATAACAATAAAAACACAATTTTTCTTTTGTAATCATACTAACTTCACAAAATCATACTATTGACATTAAAAGTTTCATTGT